AACGTGACTATAGTGATGCATTATTGTGATATAGTTATGATGCTTGCCAGGTGTTAACAAATTGTTTCTTGTGTATTAGTTAGTGTAATTAGTTGTATTATTAAGTTTTGAGGTAAACTAAATTTAATGAGAACCTCTGAGAAAATAATTTGTTAGTAGTCAATTTCTGAAGCAATGTCCCACTAATTGATCTTGGCATCGTATTGTACCTTTTTGTCCCTCTGGCGCAGTGCTTTGCGCCATAATGCACACTTTTCACCCGCTAACTACTTTCTTCCCACTGGTGGGAAGAGTCATTCTGGCCCTGCTGGGCCCAAAGTTAATTTTTGGCCTATGGTGAAAAGTAATTAGTGGGTGGAAAGTATGCCCATAGGCGTCAAGTTGCACGATACAAAAAAATGTCGTTCTCACCTCGGGTAGAAACATATGACAACCGCGCCTTTCAGGCGCTCAGTACTTTCTGCCCTAGGTAAGAAATATACTGTTTGTACTGTTTTTTAAATTAAATTTTATCAACTAGTTTTTTTATTTATTGCTTCTTATTTCTCTGCTTCCTACTAAGTTACATTTATTATCTTTTTTACTAGAGTTTCTATCAAAAAAATTTATAACCCAATAATATTGTTGGAATATTTATTTTTCGTTTCTTACAGCTGTTTTTACAAACAATCTTATAGATGAAACACGACATGTTTTTAATTTTTTTTGATGATTTTCTGGCAACTTTTTTTTGCTTCGATCAAGAATCAGTTGGTATACCTTTTTTTCATAGTACTTTTTTGTAATTTAGAAGAACCAGTACACAATGGATTTGTTTTTTCTGCCTTATGAATAAGTAAAAATATTTGAAATGATTCTGACGCTGAAAATTCTCTTAATTCTAGTTACTTCGATTTTACAACAGGCTTCATGCAATGATAAGATAGTTTACCCGGAACCGATACTGATGGTTTAAATCTTTCTTTTAGTTGTTCTTGAGCAATCAAATAGTCTTGTTTTAATGTATAGAAACAGAAAATATTCTTCAATTTTAGTTGCTTAGATTTTACAACAGACTCCATGCAATGACAATTATGTTGCAGTATTCTAAAAAGTCAATAAAAATAATATTACATTTTTATGGTCTATAAAGAAAGCCAAAAGATCGTCAATTATGAAGAAAACTTTGACTCTCCTATTTTTTAATTGTACATGACATTTTTACAATACAAACATATTTTTTAAATGCTTGTACCTTAATAGCAAAACTTAAAAGAAAAAATTTGTTAACTTTTTTTGATAATTTATAAAAAAACATAAATTTTATGGTTTCTGATAGTTTCATGATGTTTTATCTGGGAATAATTTTTTTGAAAATTTGAAATTGTCTTCTCACTAATGTTATGCAACTATATTATCATATCATGTTTGTAACTATATAATTATGTACAACAATTTATTTTAATTCAAACGATAGCTGCACCCCGTGTCTAGCCCCATGCACACTCCAAGCGTCGGCCACCTAGTCGCAAGAGAGTGGTACAAATGGGAGTGTAGATCTGCTACTGGCTGTAATAATGCGACTTTTTTGAATTTTTTTAGCATTTCTTTCAATGAAGTTGCTAAATTGCTTCGGCAGTATTGTGCAGATATACATGAAGATGATACGCAATTTTTTTTCGTAAAAAAAACTTAGTTGTTGGTCCGTTATTGCAAAAACGTCAATTTCTTATATCTTGGCTTCAGATTAATCTAGAGAATTCTGTTTTTTTAAATTAAGGTTTTTTTTATGGCAAACAATACTGCTCGTTAAAAAAAAAATTTGCAAATTGATTGAAAAGATATTTTTAATTTTTTAAGTCGCTAAACAGAAGTTTCTTACAAAAAACATTAAGATTTACAAAAATTATTATTTTTATGTTTGTTACCATTATTAACATAAAATATAAAGTTTTTACCAAAGCTCTATGTCGACAAATTGACCGTGAAGTTTGTAGTAATAATTCAAAGTTACC